CACAGCCACACATTCTTGACGAAGCTCAATAAGTGTTCATTTTCCAAGGTGAACATTCAGCGAGAATTTACAGGGTTATTCACAAAAGGGTGAAGAGTTTGGAGATGGCAGGAGAAGTGAACAATCTAGGACAACATAGCTGATTTGGAAAAATTCTCCAATTCAGCTCACTTTCCAGTTCAGCTATGTTGTCCTAGATTGTTCACTTCTCCTGCCTTCTCCAAACTCTTCACCCTTTTATGAACAACCCTGGTAGTGTTTGGAAAGAAACACACAAATTTCCTTGTAACTTCATTACAATATTTCCAATAAAGGAAAGTTACAAAAGTGTTCCATATGACCTAAAGCTTGTCTTATAAAGGCAATTATATACTTTAGATATTTAAACTAGTCAGACTATGTGTTACAAAGTTAATATAATTCCAATACAAAGCCACTTTATTTTTAGCCCTTTCCGTGTCAAATAAGGCCCTTTGGTAGTGTAAGCTTTAGTTCATTAATGAATTCATTTATTTTCACTACATTTGGCATCTCTTCTTATTTTTACAAAGTTTCATGTTTTAAAAACTGGCCCTAACAAATGATTACCCGAAAAGTACACCATAAAATGCAAAGAAATATTGAATATTAGATTTTTCTTCTTAAATGATTTTTGAATCTTGGCACCTATGTAACACATTCACTCAAAGACACAGTCAAATGAAAGCACATATTAGGAGAATGGGGATGTATACCATAGGTACACGAATGTGGAAGAACCTGTTTTACTACGGTAACATCAGTGTTACTGGTTAAGCTTTCAAGGGCTTTTAACATACCATAAATGTTTATTTGGTATGCAAACTACCAGGAATTATTGTGCTGAATTTCCAACTTACATGCAGATTATATGAAACAGGAAGACCTGAGTTTATTGTATAGTTGTATGTTCATGTATATTTCAGTTCTTGGTGGATGTACTGGGTGGGTAATGAGAGCTTAAAGCTCTTAGCACTCTGACATTTTATGTTTTTCACTTGAATTCCAAGTTCCACCATTTTTGGCAGCCATTTTGTAGGAATCTTGCTCTCACTGATGGAATTTACCTTTACTTCACTTATACTACAGAGAATAAGGAAGAAGGTAGTTAGTATAATGGCGCACGGGGTGTCCCTAGACTATTCCCAGCTAGAGGCAGGGGAGTGCAGCAGGTGCATATTACCAGGGAGGGGGTGCTGGGGGGGGGGGGGGATGTGCTTGGGGTGCACATTATGAGGGAGTGGCATCTGGTGTCCCTCCCTGCTCACTGTTGTTACTGGTTGCCACAAGCTGGGCAGGACGCTGGCCAGAGCATCACAGGTGGCTAAGAGCTTTTAGCAACCTGGGATGCTCTGGCTGGAAAGGGGGCAGCAGGTCCCCCCCATGTGGCCCAATAAGATGCCACCTGAGGCAACCACCCCAGACTGCCTCATTATAGTGACAGCCCTGATGGCACAGGAGGAAAAGGGCATAACCAGAAACTCTGGTAAGAAGCACTCAATGAGAAATGGTGAAAACAGTGGGGTGTTTCTAGTTACCATGTCCACACAAACAAATGGAATCAAGCAGTAGGTCAGAGGTAGCTTATTTTCGGCCCTGTAAAAAAAGTAGCTTATTTACAACTCCCATCATGCCTTTGCACCTGGAAGTCATGTCTGCAGTGCCTACTGAGATACTGTATATGATTTACCACATCTGGAAGTTCGAACTATGGCTACCTCTCGTTTAGGTGTACTTTCTCTTTACCTAAATTATGCAGCACAAAGAACTATTGTCTGCAATTTAATGTAAAATGTGTTATGTATAAAAATCAATACAAAAAAATCTATCATGCAGATATATGAAATACTATAAAGATTAAACATTAGTCAACATCCTGAATGTTCAGGGTCATGTTTTGAATGAAATCAATGAACAGCTTATTACAAAAGCATATAGGAAAAATATAAAACATATAATGTAAAAAGTTGTATATTGATTTTGTTTCCTTTTTTCCTAGCTGCTTCTTCCCCCAACCAAGATACACAAAGAGAGCTGGGTAATGGCTGCCTTAGGATTTCAAGTCTGGATTCATCCAGTTTAAAAGCCTGAAGTCCTAGGAAACGACATTTGAATACAGACCACGACAGCAAGCTGTTACTTATCAATTTCTCAGGTGGGGTTGAAGTGATGTCAGTCTGCGTAACATGCAGAATTTGGCTGCAGGCAAGTACCTTGTCTGCATAATGCTCAGACACACCCAAGGTGGGGCTGCAACACAACCATAGATTTTAGTTATTATACTGAGGCATTTATGAAATGTCGTAATGAAGGAGACGCCCTCACTCTGAGTTCTGTTGAGACAGGACCATAGCAGCATTTAAGCCTCCACACATTTAACCACTTCCAAACTGCGCCTTTCCCTAACCTACTTTAAAATGAGTTCCAAGCTTGTTTCTATCCAAATTCTATTGATTATGGAGTGCAAAGAACAGTAATAAACTACAAAGCACAGCTAACCTCAACAAATTTTGTTTTTTTTCCGGAGATAAATTAGTTAAATATATGTTCTGAGAAGATAGATAGATAGATAAATAGTCATCTAGCTGTCATGTTACCAAGAAGATAAGAACTGACCATTTTCCATCGTTTCCATCCGTTGTGCGATGGTTGTAAGGTGATTAAAAGTTCGTACGAGCTGCCCATCATGGGCAGGCAGATCGTACTTCCCGCTGAAGAGAGGGCTTACAGATGATTGCAATGGTGAGCGGGCAGTGTGCGCTTGCGCACCTCGGCCCGTGCAGCTTTCGTCTTGCGATTTTCAGCGGGTTTTCTAGCGTGCTCGTAATACGAAAGTCGTGCGACCGTACAGTAAATGCGGTCGCACGCTGCCCATACACCTTACGATTATCGTACGATCGCGGGATCACCCGCGATTATCGTCAGGTGTATGGGCATTTATTGGGGAGATTGCAGTTTCCTTTTGTGTGCAATTGGGGAGATTGCTATTTACTTATATGTGCCATTGGGGGTGATTGCCATTTACTTTTGTGTGCCATTGATGGAGATTACCATTTATGTCCTGCCCTGTAGACACAACAGGAGTCAGAGGAAATCTCTCCAAAGGGAGGGAATCCTCACTGTTACTTGTTACTGCAACACATTTCCTCATTAGAAGATTTATTTTCCTGTTATAGTGACAATTAAAAATGTAGGGTTTTCCACACATTCAGTCCTTGTGACAATGGTCACCATGATGGGGTGAATCTCCTCCTCGAAGACACATACAGCTTTAAAACCCTGAGGGTGTTCTAATCCCTCACCAATCTGTTCAAAACTCCAAAACTAGGTTGGGCTTTAGAAACACTTTTGTTTTAAACATTTGGGATTTATCATTTTTGTACAATGTTTGTATGTTTTATTTAGAGAATGTTATCAGCATGTTGGAATTTCTAATTGACAAACAACATCTTTTTGTGTTACCATTCTTATTCCTTAACCCGTATTTTCTTATAGTGGAACAGCAGCACCTTTTTTGTTCTGTATAAAGAGTAGGAAGGATTGAATCCTCTGCCAGGTTTTGATTGATCTGTGCTGTAAAAGCTGCTAGTGACAGGATTTGCTTAAATACATACAACTATTACTACAATCCAATTGAGTCCAGCCATATTTGTGATTACATAATACATAAGCCCTGATGAAAGGGGTTTGAACCCTGAAACGCGTTGGATTATTTCTAATTACCTACTCTTTATACTAATTATCTACTCTTTATACTAATTATCGACTCTTACTACTACTAATTAACGACTCTTTAACCGTTGGTGTGACGCCCTTACTGCTTCCTATATAATTAGGTTTTCATTGCCGTCTGGGTCCCTATTGGGGAGATTTTCTCTACCTTTTTGTCCTAAAGAATGTGGACACTGGGACAGGAGGTGAGAGAATTTTTTTTTAACGAAGGGACAGTGTCACACAGGAAGCCAGCTAGATTTCGTGTTTTCGTGTTTCTGGATCGTGAAAAGTAGACTCTAACTAAATTGGTCACATGAAACGCCTTTTAATTTTGTTTTAAACTCTTTCATACATAAGGCTCATTGCTTGATCAACATTAGAGATGACTATAGTGTATTTTTTTGTTTTTCAAGTATTTTGTTTACTTTTGCATTTACATGCACAAGATCTTAAGCTGGCCATACACGTGACAATTTTCCATCAATTTCAACCTCTTTCGATCCGCTGGAAATCGTAAATTCAATTGAAGGTAATTTTAAGAAACAAAGCAATCTACATCCACATGTTCAATCAACCACCAGAATTCCTTCAATTGCGAAGTCGAAACTGGAACTGAATTTATCGATTGCTCCTTTCGATGCTCTAGGTTTTTTTAAAAACAATTGTGCTCTCATCAAAAGTGATTGGATTTTTCCATCGCATTTAGTAACATTGGACATGCTTATCTAATAGACTTCCAATGTCTATGGCTAACTTTACACTACAAAACAGCATTATACGTGCAGTATGGACTGCTGAGGCTAACAGAAAAAATCATGACAATAAAACAATTGCAATCAATTAACTACACATATAACATGCTTATTATTAAAACAATTTAGATTACATTACATAGCTCCTATCTATACAACAAAGCACTGTGTTACCCTATGTCGCAACTTTTCATGAATACAGCTGGCTACACACGGTTTGCTCACTGTGAAACAGACCCACTGGTAAAGTTGAAACGTACAAATGTAAGATAATTATAGTAAAGAATAGTCTTATGGTCTAAGCTATAACTAGTATGAAATATGGACTGTTTTTGTCAATTTAGGTGTAAAGCTTTATTTGAATTCTCCTATGTCCCTTGCTGCCATACAAATATACACTTTATTTAGCTACATTAAGAACTTTGCATCATACTCACTAAAAAGGCTTGTGACTTGATTTCTCCCCCTCATCCGACTAAAATAAGACCCCACAGAAGAATCTAAAACAGCACTCACCTCCTTGACATACTTCTCAGCCTCCACTGTCACCGTGTTATGATTCTTGTGTTCTTGGAACATGCACAGGTAACAGATGCATGTTTGGTCTGTTTGACAAAACAGCTCCATGGTTTTGCTGTGCAGTGGGCATTTTCGGGCTTCAAAGTCTCTTATGGGATCCAGTAGCTTATGGTCCCGAAAGGCAGCCCCCTCCAGATGGGGCTTCAAGTGAGGTTCACAAAAAGATGTCTGGCAGACCAAGCAGGACTTGACAGCTTTTTTCTTGTCGTCGATGCATGAATCGCAGAGGACATCATCGTTATCCATAGATCCTAAACTTCCACGAACAGATCTACGAGCTTCTGAATTCTCAGGAGCAGGACTGCTGGGTGTCTGCGAGTCTGGTGAACTAAAAAGACTCACCCTGCTAATTTTAACACTCCCTGTCCCAGGGCTGGTTTTCAATATTGATGACTTCACGCCTCCTTGTTCTGGGCCAGGACTATTGATGAGCACCTTCTGATTCTCATCATTGATGCTTGAGTTTGCAGAATCCGGTTCTACAAGGCCGTTGTTTTCTTCACAGTGGGAGCCGTTGGTAGTCTTTGTATCTTGATCTTCCATTTCTTATTAACACTGCAGAATTCCCTGTGCTGGTCGGCCTACTGAGATATGTTATCTGAGAAAGAGCAGTAAAAGCCCTCTGATAAAAATTCTACCTCTGACTCACACCTTTTCCAGTGAAGAAACCAGATTCTTATTGATGGTGATAAATGACAGCAAAGGAGATATGATGAAGAGATGAGGCAGCTAAGGTTACACAATCTCTTCCACACCCAGGAAGCTCTGAGAACATTCTTGCCCTGCCCTCCTTTACTGAAAGAAACTTTTTTTTTTTTAATTATTTTTCTCACTGGCTGCAACCTGCCCTGCCTGTGGTTGTGGACAATAATTTTTTGGCTGTACAATTTGCTGATTAAGTATACTATAAGCTGTTAGTGACCTACATACAAAGGCAATATTGATGTAGACAGAGTTACTTTACAAAAACATTAGGCTTATTTAATAAGGCAGTGCAAAGAGCAATGCTTGTAGTTGACTAACAACTAGAACACATTACAGTAAGGTGCAATAATCCTTAAAAGGTCCAACAGCCTTCAAGTGACTACAGGCAGTCCCCGGGTTACATACAAGATAGGGACTTTAGGTTTGTACTTAAGTTGAATGTGTATGTAAGTCGGAACAGGTACCTTTTTTAGGTGTAACTCCAGCCAGAAAACATTTTTTTTTAGTTTTGGATAGCATAGGGAAGGGTCACATTTGTTTTGCATTTTTATTTAAAATGACACACCAAAAAAAGTTTTTTTCTATTTTTAATTGTATTTTATATACTTTATTTTTATTTTTTTGCATTTTTAATTTTTTTTAATTTAACTTTTTTTACATTTTCTTGCCTTTTTAATTAAATTTTTTTTATTTTTGTAAACTTTTTTTATTTTACTGCTGGGAGCAAAAGCAAGCCTGCTATAGATATAAGATATTTCAAATTGCAATAGCCAATAGCAGGCTGGCTATTGCACCTGCCCACTGCCTGCTGTCAATCAGCAGAGGAGGGGCCTGAAGGAGAAAGTTCTCTATCAGGTCCTCCCATGCTGATTGACAGCAGGCAGTGGGTGGGTGCAATAGCCAGCGTGCTATTGGCTATTGCATTTTAAGATATCCAATAGCAGGCTGGGTATGGCTCCCAGCCTGAAATGAAGAGGAGGCCGGGGGGCGGGGCAGAGGAGCCACGGCCGTACCAGGAGAGCGGAGGATCGTCCGGACTGGGGAAGCCAACGGATCAGCGGAAGAGGACCCTGGGACATCAGCAGAGGTACGGGGGCAGCAGAGTAATGCAGCGGTCTGTGTCCCCGCTGCCTCCGCCAACACAGGCGCAAAGAGTAGCGGGGATTTGAAGGGACAAAGGCCGCTGCAGCCACAGTTCTCCTGCCCAAGGTTTGCCTCACTGGCGCGTTTCACCATATCACAGGCTTAGTCGTAGAGTCATGAAATGTGTCAGTAGGGGTGGATCTTGGCCGGGACACCAGGGATGCAGTAGAAGTTTTAATAAACTATCACAGTGGAATCCATAGTGTGGACAGCATTTCATCTGTTTATTTTCTCCATACTAGTTATTTTTTTTTCTTTAAAGAGTTATTAAACCCCCCGTTGTTTTTGCCTGTATCTACTGCTATCAAGCAGTAGATATAGGCAAAAACTTTTTTTTTAAACATGCTTTAAAAAGGGTTTAAACTTACCTGCGTCTTCCCCGCACGCTCCCATCCGAAAAACTGAAAAATCTCGGGCGGCCGCAAAGGATCTTGGGGCGGCGCTCGCGCAGTTCAAATTTTCAGCCGGGAGACGAGGAGAGACACATGGTAAGTCTATGGACGGCATACACCCGCATGCAGACACCGTGGGACAGGAAGTGCCAGAAAGCACAGAGAAGTCAGCGCTGGATCGGAGACCCGCAGCAGCGCTGGAGAGAAGGCTGAAAACAACAAGAAAGAAGAAGAAGATCGGATTAAGAGACATCATTTAAGGTAAGTGCTTTAATTAACATTGGGGGGAGGGAAAAAATGTTTATCCTTTAATGTCACTTTAATGTCCGAATTAGATTCCAACATTAACCACACAAGAACAGGGATGCAGACAGTAATAAAGACCTGAAAGAGTCTAAAACTCCACTACTTCCAAAATGTTAAAATGTTTTCAGCCAATTCCATTCAAAACTGTTATTTATCACTGCAAAAAGGAAAAGAAAATATATGGTAAGCATTAATGTTGTATCTTATAGGAACACAATAATAAAGCTGAGTAAAAGTATCCTGGTTGTAAAGTACTTTTTTATTGAACACTTACAGCTGTGAATGCTAGCAGAATTCGAGGGAAAACACGTTAAAGTATTTTAATGAGGCTAGATCATATTACAGTACTGCTGTATGTATGTATGTATGTGCTTCAGGGTACATGTCTAAACCATTCCGCGAGCACTTAAAAATGTGAAGAATTTACTTACCATTACAGGAGCAACAATGAAGCAAAAACCCTCAAGAATGATAAATAAGTCAAATTGTACTGTTAAAATATGAGATAATAAATTAGCATTGTCATTTCAGTATAAAACAGCAAAAATGCAGCCCAGAATGTAACAATGTAACGTACAGAAAGCAGTGATTGAAAGCTCCCATTCCATTTCAGGAGCAGATGCTTTTTTTTCTCGATTCAGACATCCTTAGCTGGTGGGGCGGGAACACAAAAAAACAGTATTTTTTAAATTAAAGTCTATGAAAAGCCACAACTTTTTTTCTTAGTTTAGGATAGAATGTGGAAGGGTTAGAACCTTTATCATGTTCTATTGCTGTTTTTGTCTTCTCTTGGGAGATTCACACTATTGATCTTGATCTTCACCCTATTCAATATTGATCTTGATGACTGTTGCCTCTAATTATTTATTTATTTATTTATTCATGTATTTATTTTTTAGTTTCAAAACGTTTTTATTTTTTCAATAAAGTATTGGTTAAACGATGCACTAACACGAACATCGTGCGTGTGCATGTACAATAATGTAAACATTGGCATTGCTATACAACAATGAAAATTACAGCATACGTGGCATACTTTCAGCAATCGCCTATCAATATAGGAGAAGGGAGGGGGTCAGCCTCGGTGGGGATCCCACCACTACGGTCAGGGTAGACCAGGAGAGAAAAAGATTTAAGAAAAATCGTAACAAACTTTCGACCAGAACGACTGAGTAATGGGACACGACCACCATACATGCATATATGTGCCACTGGCAGGGCAACTACAGAAGCAAGTACCCTCGCAGTCCGACACAAAGTGTCGAGCTTGGGAAGGGGTAATATACCAACGCAGGAGTATTTTGTAATTTGTCTCAAGTAACCTGGCGCTCGTAGAGCAGGAGTTGGTGGAGGTCCATATCTGGGACCAGGTATCTTCGGGGAGCTCGAGGTCCAAGTCTTTCTGCCAGCAGTCCATATATGGGTGATGTGGGGATTGGGTAGGTTGCAGGGATGATGTATACAATTGTGAACTAATACCGGGTGAATGGGGGTCTCATTTTCAAATCGTTTCAAACGGAGACATAGATCTTAAGTTCCCATTGAGGTTACAGCTGGCTTGTATAAAGCTCTTTATTTGTAGGTAGCGGAAGAGTTTGGAGGATGGGATTGAGTGTTGTGCTTGTATATCTGGGAAGGGTATTATATTATTGGTATTATAAAGTGAGTGAAAACGAGTGACGCCCTTTTCTTTCCACTTATGGAAAGCAGCGGGGGAGTCAAATGCTGGGGGAAAGGCTGGGTGGTGTAAGAAAGAGAGCATGGGTAGGTGGGGTGAAAGAAAACCACTTGAGTATTTAATAGCATCCCATATGCGAAGCGAATGGTGTGTTATGGTGTTCGAGATGCCTTTCCTATCTTTAGGGTGCATCCACAGGAGGTTGTCAATTGTGCATGGATCACAGTCTATGGCTTCAATCGAGACCCATAATGGTGCTTCGGTGGACGCGTGGTATTTAGCGATAGTAGCTAGTTGGGCTGCATAGTAATATTTTTGGAGGTGCGGTATGCCTAGACCTCCTGAACGTCTGTTTTGGTACATAGATTTCGCCGGTATCCTAGGTTTTTTGTGTGACCAGATAAAGGTGGAGAGTTGTCCCTGAAAGACACAAAGAGCTTGTGTAGGGGTATAGGAGCGGGCAGAACCCGGAATGAGTATAAGAGTTTTGGCACCGGGGGTCATCTTAATCGCTGCAATTCTACCTAGCCACGAGAGGGGGTAAGTGTGCCAAATTTTGAGGAAGTTCTTAAGCCTGGTGAACAGGGGTGGGTAATTAGCAGAAGATAGGGAGGAGTGGGAAGCGGTCAAATGGACACCTGGATCCTAACATCAAGTGTACGTGGGGGTAGCGTTATGTTGAGGGCTTTGGATTTTGAGGTATTTAGGTGTAATCCTGAATGGTGTCCAGCTAGAGAAATGCCCGTGATATCAGGATGGTTTCTGATCAGTTGTGCTAGAGTTTCAATAGCCAATGCAAATAGCAGCAGTGACAGAGGGCAGCCCTGCCTGGTACCTCTGCGGATGGGAAAGGAGGCAGATCTATGACCAGCATACTTTACTGATGCCGCAGGGTTAGAGTATAAGGCTGTGATCCAGGAACAGAATTTTGGCCCAAAACCCCATTTATTGAGTATATAGAGCAGATATTGCCATGAAAGGAGTCGAACGCCTTTTGCATGTCCAAAGATAACAACATAAATGGAATGTCACCTTGGTTTGCTTTCTCAATTAGGAGACAGGCTCTGCGTACATTGTCACTGGCTTGGTGCCGGGGAATGAAACCAACCTGGTCGTTATGGATAAGGGTGGGAATGATTGAGTTGAGCCTTGTCGAAAGTACTTTGGCCAATAATTTGACATCAATATTTAGGAGAGATATTGGCCTAAAGTTAGCCCAGTGGGTTCCATCAGAGTCTGGCTTTGGAATCATGCAAATAGTGGCTGCGAGGGATTCTGTTCTGAATTTTGACCCATTGCGAACACCGTTAAAGGTTGCTGTCAATAGTGGCGCTAATATTTCTAAGAATTTTTTATAGTATGTGGCGGAGAAACCGTCAGGGCCAGATCTTTTTTGTAGTTTGAGGGTTTTTATAGCGGCTATTACTTCTTGGGTAGTTATGGGGAATCTAAAGCTGTGCGAATGTTTTCTGGCATTTCAGGCAT